CCAATTCTGTTACTACCCCCCTCCCCCCTGTATCCCCATGCAATAACTATAACACTTAGATGTAAAAATGCTTGATATTAAGTATAACCAAATAAATTCAATATAAAGGTATCTCAAAAGTCAAGTAAAACTCTGTATTTATAGAGAATGGCAATCAACTACTATTATGAGGGCGATGCCCACTTTTGACCACTTATGTAATTGTATGGTCTTTGACACTTACCAGTCATATAAATTGCAATATTCTTTCTCTTTAAACAAATGTTTGGACAGCCCTGGTGATTTTTAGAGTGCTAAAATGTTCTGATATCTGTTTATTTGAAAAATAATCCACATTCTATATTATGTACAGGTACAGGTTTTACCAAAATTAAGGATTTTCTCAGCAAAAATTGTGGTTTCCATGGCAACCACGAGTGACAGACCATTGAAACTTTGCATACTACCTTAAAATGATCTCATCAACTCTCAATAAAATCAATATGATGATTGAAGACTAACTGAATGAATTATTCAATGATGATAATGTACCCCCTGTAATTTTCCTTTTGAGGGTCAAAAACCCAATTTTGACAACTTTCGCCCCGGATACGGCGCGTCAGACTAAAATTTTCTGAAGTATCACATAAAAATACATAAGAAACAAGTAATTTCAATTTGTTCAGAAGCGGGTACATTTTTCGGTGCCACCTCACTACCTATACCTTGTTCTATCTCACAAGCTCTTGTATCTGGAAACACCTAGGTTTTATTCTGGAAATTAGAGACTGTCTGCACATGACATGAAAACACCTGGCCCCTGTAGTCTGCAAGATCAACACCTCTAAAAGTCAAACACTTCCACACCTCAAATACATCTGTTACACAATTTTATTGCTTGGATATTGAAATGAGTACCCTGCTTGCAGAATCTAGTTTTAAACTACCCTCTGCCTAGTATAGACTATATTACAGTTTAGCAGCCCTGCCCCAAAGATTGGTGCCTGTGACAGCCCAAGTCATAAATCACTTCAAACCTACCATACTATTTTCTCAACCAATCAATAAACAGGAAGGAACACATGCTAAATGTGAGCTCATTAACTCTACGATTATGTCAGAGAAAATGACCACATATAGAAAGTGGTCCATTTTTGACAATGAACTCTGACTAACTTCGTGAGATCAGATATTTATTGTAAACTGAAAGAGTGAAGACAAAGCTCTCTTTTAAGAAGTGAAGTCAATCGAATGCAAAGGGTATGAAATGAGAAGGATTTGGATCTGTAAAATGAAAACCCTTGAGAGGTCCACTTTTAAGGGGGTGGGGAGATATGATGAGTATAGAATGAGTATAGAATGTCCTTGCTAGATATCCCTTCCTAGGTTTACTTTGTTAATGAAGTTAATGAGATAAACTCATAACAACATAGCCAGCTCTTCAAAGCGAACGCTTCTGGGATTGAAGTGCTACTGTATATGAAGGCAGAGCTCATTTGATATAGATATCTTTTACAAGATAGGGTCAGCCCAGATTGAGTATCTCAGCAATGTCCTGAATTTGCACCTAATTAATACAGGAATTTCCTAAACATGCCAGTTATCAAGAAATTGGGCAAAAGTAGAATGGGGTCTTTCAGATGAAAAGCCTCTTTCCCTAATGAACATTAATTAGCTAGGCCTAATTAGTTAATCTGTCTTGGGTTTCATACTGACCACATATCTGCCACTGTAGGGTCTCTGGGGTGCAGTTTAGAAATAACATGTGTATATGAAAGATAAAATCATATGGTATTATATCTTATCTTATCCAGCTTTGAGATAAGTTGTTTATTTCAGAAAGGAGAGAGAAGATTGGGAAAACAGAGGGAAATATACAAAACAAACACCTGTGCACTATCTGATCTAATATAGTAAACAAAAACTATTGCTATATGAGATGAAAAAAACAAAACAACAAATCTTTCTTGTCAAAAGACTATTTAGGAATCTCATGTCACACCCATCTAGAAAAATATAAAGTGAATTAACATTGGAATTGTACTTTCTGTTGTGTCTTTCATTTAAATCTATATTGAACTCTCTTGTTAATAAATGAACACATTGACAGGATGTATGAATGGGCACTGCATTGCAAAAAATATAGAATATAAGAAATAAAAAATGGAATAAGCAATGGGTAAAAAATATTGAATTGAATTTTGGGAAATAAGACAGCTAAGTTATGGGCATTGCCGTGGAGGGGGGAGAGGGGTACAATGGGTGTAATCATAATTTTTTAAAAATTTGTTGAAAGTACATTAAGAGAATTATAGACAGTTTAAAATGCTTAGAACCATATAAAATTCAAATTTCCAGGTTGAACCCCCTTTCCCCTTTTTGGGGCTCGCTTTACTCAAAGTGAAGCAAACCCAAAATTTGCACCCCTTGACAATTTCTGGCTGCGCTCCTAACTATGTACCTAAATGTGTGGAGACTTTCTGCTAGTTCTCTGTAGAACATGTTGAAGGTATAGAGACAGGTTTATCAGTGTTTGGTAGAGTTTAGAAGTATAGTAAGCATGTGTTTTTGTTTGCCTGTTTATCAGGTAACTTCATTAGTTGCTGATTGGAAGCATCTTCTCTATTTACATGATACTTAAACACACTTATTATGTATTTCTTCTCAAAATCTTGGCTGCTTTGATAAACCAAGGGAAATGCATTGCAGGGTCTACTGGTAGAGATGATGGAGGGGCATTAATGTTGCATATTTGGACCTAAAAGGGGCTCAATTTTCTCCGTCCCCCTCGTGGGAAGTTATTATATTTTCATAGCATTATAATGAATGATGTTCAAGGGCATAACCAGAAAAGGCATAAATAGGTGATGTAAAATATTGGCCAAAAGGGATATTATACCACAACTTGAAACAAAGCATTATTTTCATATTTCAGCTGAAAAGTATATTTCTGTTTTTTTCTGAAAAAAGTTTAATAAAATTTTGTTGAGTCAGTTGCCTCATGCAGCCATGCATATGATGTTCAATACCTGAAACACTATGTCAATGATTGACCTTAAAATCTTAATATCTATACTCCAGTATATTTAATGGATCTAGAAATACTGCATGAATTTTGCCTTGCCTGCATCTTGCCTCACCTGGCCAGCTACACACCTGAATGAAACTCATGGAAGTCACGAAATAAACAAAATAAATGTACCTGATGCAGCTGTAAATCAATGAAGACCCTGAGGGAGCATCTCATAAGATCATCGTTGGGATGTTAACTTTATTTGCTGAATTAGGGGGGGGGGGCTAGTCCATATCTATATTTTTGTAAGTATAGTATAGTATAAAGAGGGAGGAGTGACAAATTATCCTTGCAAAAAGAGAACCTTTGAGTTGCTTCTCAAGATAGACTGTATTAGGATGGGGCAGTTCATATCATCTTTCTCAAGTGTAGTTATCAAAGAGGGGGGGGGGGTGACACATTATCTTAAATGCAAAAAGAGAACTGCTTTTGATATGCTCCCCAAGATATACTTTATCAGACTTTCCAAGACAAGGTACCACTTGTTGAGATTTTATCACCTACAACTAATCACTTACATGTACATGTATAACTATCTGTACCTTAAAGTCTTGGGAGTAAATTGAGGTGTCTTGTTTAGTGAATTTGTTCTCTATTTTGAAAAAGGTAAATCATCTGTAATTTTAAGATTGAAATTGTAATTGAGCTCTAATAAAGAGTACAGTTACTTGGGTATGAGAAATATACAGGTACAAGTAACTAATTTATATGTTCTTGCATTTTTATAATGTAATCAAAAAGAAACACTGAACAGTCTGGTGTTTCTTCAAAAAATAATTACAAGTAAGACATGGGGAATAGCCAAGCATTGACTAGCCTTATCAAAAAAAATTGGAAAATATTTATTTAGAGGTTTTCAACCATAACTGTGGTAGTGAAGTCTTATGGTAGCATTATATCTCTTTTGGAATTTTGCCTTGCCTATTTTATTTTGAGGTCCTGCAAGAGGCATACTACAACCCCTATATGTTGTACAAGGGCCTGTTGTTCTTTATCCGCCTGACAGGTTTATCTCATTCAGTCTCCACCTGGTAATCTAGGGCCTTTCCAGGTAGACTCTAGCTGGGATTTATCAATAATTAATTCAATTGTCTTTCAAATGATTAAAATCTCTTGATTAAAAGCACAATCTTTCATTAAAGTATTACAAGGTGAAAACAAGGTGAAAATGAATAGAAAAAGCATGGAATAATTAAGGATTTAAGCCCTGGACTGTATTGTATGCGGAATCATTTCATTGAAGGTGTTGTTTCCAAATCTTTGCATGACTACACAACGGGAATGCAAAGTTTAGGAAACCACGCCTGAGTGGAATGAAGCAGCCACAATGCATTGAGTCTCTCTGGCTTAAAATTCTTTCTCACATCGCAAAATATTTTCTACAAAATCACGTCAAAAATACAAAATCACTAAAAGAACAAATTTTCAATGAAACTTTTTGCAAGGGTCAATTTGGCAAAGTATCAATTTCAATCTTTGAGTCCAGCTATCACCTTGACAACCATATAACAAATGCGTTATTGGTTATATAACGGAATGCAGTAACGTGAAATAGCGTGTCCTGATTGGCTGGAATTGGACACACCTTGCCTAGAGCAATGTATGAACATGATTTTAAGCATACATGCAGTGAACACTGAATTATATAGAAATCAAAGGTGTAAGTCATGCATGATGCAAGTGCTAGTGCTGATATTAAGGTTTCATTTATAATTAAATGTCGCTTTTACTATTTTTATTTATTTAAGTCATATTTAGCTTCAGTTAATGTTAATGGAGTTCTCATGATGGCCGGTAATCTCACAGATTAATAATGAAAAAATAATTCACATTTCCTTTCAACATTTGGGTATTTGTGAAAAATTTGGAGATCAAGTTCAAGGATGAATGTGTTAAATTTTTTTCTGATCTACCTACTACTGCATATGAAATAAAATAAATTACTTACCCAACATCTAATGAAATGCTCAATAATTGAAGATCAGATCGTTTTTTCTTATTCCTAGCTGAACTTTATTAACCAAAAATGCTTATATTACCATTCCTACCTTGAGATAGATTCTTGTAACTGTTCAGATAATCTCAAGTCACTCATATAAATGTTATGGATTATCAGCAGACAGTATTGGATCATCCAGGTAGCTGTTATTGCTGTTTCATTTGATCTGATCTTCACTCGCAAGTAGAGTTCAGTTCAGAAGAGTTCATTATTGTATTTTCCAATGTTGCCTCATGTGCATTCATACATCATGATTTTAATAATCATTAATAAACTTGATATTGATGTGAAATTGGTTTGTTGCTAGGCTACTCAATGTAATAATATGTAGTCCATGTATTCACTGGGTTAGGTTATGTTATATTATGTTGATGGTTTGAAATGTCAAACTTGATACCCTTGCAATACCTGATGATGAAATGTCTTATGGATTATCTATTAAATTGAAATATTGAGTAAAATCAAGTTGAATTAGCAGAAATGAAGTAAATATATTTTAGTCATTTGTATAGAGGTAATAAACATTAGACAATTTGGTCTTATTTTTGAGAAAACCAAATGAAAACAGATCTTATACAAAGTGGTACAATTTGCCAAAGTAATCAATTAGAAGAATTACAATTGTAATGTTAGAACTTAATTACTCTATGTCTGATTAGATTCCCTTTCAATTTAACTTTTTATCAGATTTTGCATGCATAACTAATTGGAAATCACTAATTCAGTAAGGTCAGTGTATTTTTATTTTCCAGTTTAACTTTGCACCAGAATCCAGTGTTAGCTTGTAATCTAGTACATATTCGAGATTCATTTATAGATGCTTCTCAATTTTGTAAAATTGCATTAATTTTTTTTATAATTTTTGATCTACTTACCTTGTTTTGCAATTTTCTTATCATGCCCCTCGAGTTCTCAGCAATTCTCAGTTATAAGGTTAAGCTGATTTTTACTTGAATATGTTAGAACATATCCTTGTTTTTAAATCATACTTTTAGGACTTCCTTTTTGTGTATGTTCACTCCCAGTGTGTTAAGTTCTTTTTATCAACACCAACATATCTTCCAACAGTTAATAAAAGATACAAAATTCCCACGGTTTATCTTTAATAAATAATTCACTTGAAAAAAGTGTTTTGAACCCAATGTATGTGAAAGTTCTTTAGTTTGACACATTTAACTATTTTTAGTTCCCTTAATGTAATGTGACTGTTCATGGGAATTTGTTTTGAGAAGCATTTATATTAGCAAATTTGCTATTATGCTAATCTGAATAAATATAACATTTATAATTTTTTGGGGGAAAAATACCCTTAAACTAGTCTTCTGACTCAAATCTGTATCTAAGAACTAGTCTTCGGACTCAAATCTGTATCTAAGAACCAGTCTTCTGACTCCAATCTGTATCTAAGAACCAGTCTTCTCACTCAAATCTGTATCTACAAACCAGTCTTCTGACTCAAATCTGTATCTAAGAACCAGTCTTCTAACTCAAATCTGTATCTAAGAACCAGTCTTCGGACTCAAATCTGCATCTAAATACCAACAATTTGTTGAAGTGTAATTTTTTTTATTTTCAATATATATACAGAAATTACATGCATGCCTACATGCTATTCTAAATAGGTGGCACTTTGGAATCAAACACTTTTTAAATGTTATGTAACATAATTGTTTAAATTAAATTAATTGTAATTTGATATTCTACTTGTAGAATATGATTGTTTCATTTTTCAAATTCTGGCCTGCACTCAGTCCAGGTAACCTTTCATTTACTTCATGTTTGTTTTTATTGAAACATTGACTAGATATGTACTCTGTTTTTTTTATAGTATTTTCAGTTATTTTGTTATGTAGGTCAGTAAAGTTACACAAAAAGTGTTCATGACTTTCATTTATAAATATTTTTGTTATTTACAGTTTATTACACTTCAGAACTTTCACTATTTACATTGCTATACATCACTATATTTCTTCATAATTTATCAAATATCTTAATTATATACAATGGATTTGCGATTGATCCTGCTTTCAACATAAATTGACAGATGGCCATCTTTTATAGCAATTTATATAATGTATGATATATATTATACATAATTACTGACCAATATCATACCTGTAGCCTGGCCAGAACAAGTCATGCCTCTCCATTTTCTCAATAACTTTCTCAATTTTGAATATTTTTTCATGAAATTTTCTCAGTATAAACTTTAAAGAATTCCTAACATACAATTTTTTTTATATGGTAAATGCCTGGTTAATTTCATTGTTACAACCTTTTAAAAAAATGTCATATTCTGTTGATGGGTCATTTTTGTCACCATTTTTTCTAAAAAGATACGAAAAATCTAAATAACGGTTTGTCCTAATATACAGATTGTCTTGTTCTTGGTGTGAAATACTGTCTGTTGTCTTCTCTAAGGTATGCATAAGTATTTTGTGATGTTTGCTTGGTATTATAATACTGTTTTGATGGATTGTCCTTTGAATTTTTTGTAAAAACCATCTCTGTGAATTTTCAAAATTTAGCAGACGACTTTTGTGATTTTTGAACCTCAGAGTTTGAAGAGCTCCTATTTTGAGGAGCATATTGTAACTCATTTTCAAGGCTAAAATTTTATCTAAAAGATTTGTATGTTAGGAATTCTTAAAAGTTTATTCTGTGAAAATTTCATGAAAAAATATTCAAAATTGAGAAAGTTATTGAGAAAATAGAGAGGCATGACTGGTTCTGGCCAGGCTACTATGATGTACGTTATACACATATGTTATATACAGAGATAAATAAAAAGATGTATATTTGAAACTTTTCTGTTCATTAATACATGGCATGCTATACATTGGCATTTCCGAGACTCAATTAATACTAGAATATAGTACTATGAAATAATGCAAGCAAATGTTTGTCTTTCAAAGGAAAAATGCCACTGTTTGTTTGGCCCTGTTATTTTTTGATTACATGTTCTACCATATAAAGTTAAATTCTACTGTGTGTACTGTTTGGTCCTGTTATATTGGGATTACATTAATAAAAATTTCAATGTGTGTTTAGCCCTGTTATTTTGGATTACATGCTCTACTATCTAATGAAAACTTCACTGTATGTTTGGCCCTGTTATCTTGGATTACATGCTTCACTATTTTATGAAAACTTCACTGTTTGTTTGGCCCTGTTATTTTGGATTACATGCTCTACTATCTAGTGAAAACTTCACTGTTTGTTTGGCCCTGTTATTTTGGATTACATGCTCTACTATCTAATGAAAACTTCACTGTGTGTTTGGCCCTGTTGTTTTGGATTACATGCTCTACTATCTAATGAAAACTTCACTGTTTGTTTGGCCCTGTTATTTTGGATTACATGCTTTAGTATTTAATGGAAACTTCACTGTTTGTTCGGCCCTGTTATTTTGGATTACATGCTTTACTATTTTATGAAAACTTCACTGTTTGGCCCTGTTATTTTGGATTACATACTTTAGTATTTAATGGAAACTTCACTGTTTGTTTGTTTGGCCCTGTTGTTTTGGATTACATGCTCTACTATCTAATGAAAACTTCACTGTTTATTTGGCCCTGTTATTTTGGATTACATGCTTTACTATTTTATGAAAACTTCACTGTGTGTTTGGCCCTGTTATTTTGGATTACATGCTCTACTATCTAATGAAAACTTCACTGTTTATTTGGCCCTGTTATTTTGGATTACATGCTTTACTATTTAATGAAAACTTCACTGTTTGTTTGGCCCTGTTATTTTGGATTACATACTTTAGTATTTAATGGAAACTTCACTGTTTGTTTGGCCCTGTTGTTTTGGATTACATGCTCTACTATCTAATGAAAACTTCACTGTTTATTTGGCCCTGTTATTTTGGATTACATGCTTTACTATTTTATGAAAACTTCACTGTTTGTTTGGCCCTGTTATTTTGGATTACATACTTTAGTATTTAATGGAAACTTCACTGTTTGTTTGGCCCTGTTGTTTTGGATTACATGCTCTACTATCTAATGAAAACCTCACTGTTTATTTGGCCCTGTTATTTTGGATTACATGCTTTACTATTTAATGAAAACTTCACTGTGTGTTTGGCCCTGTTATTTTGGATTACATGCTCTACTATCTAATGAAAACTTCACTTTGTGTTTGGCCCTGTTATTTTGGATTACATGCTTTACTATTTAATGGAAACTTCACTGTTTGTTTGGCCCTGTTATTTTGGATTACATGCTTTAGTATTTAATGGAAACTTCACTGTTTGTTTGGCCCTGTTATTTTGGATTACATGCTTTAGTATTTAATGGAAACTTCACTGTTTGTTTGGCCCTGTTATTTTGGATTACATGCTTTACTATTTTATGAAAACTTCACTGTTTGTTTGGCCCTGTTATTTTGGATTACATGCTTTAGTATTTAATGGAAACTTCACTGTTTGTTTGGCCCTGTTGTTTTGGATTACATGCTCTACTATCTAATGAAAACTTCACTGTTTGTTTGGCCCTGTTATTTTGGATTACATGCTCTACTATCTAATGAAAACTTCACTGTTTGTTTGGCCCTGTTATTTTGGATTACATGCTTTAGTATTTAATGGAAACTTCACTGTGTGTTTGGCCCTGTTGTTTTGGATTACATGCTCTACTATCTAATGAAAACTTCACTGTTTGTTTGGCCCTGTTATTTTGGATTACATGCTTTAGTATTTAATGGAAACTTCACTGTTTGTTTGGCCCTGTTGTTTTGGATTACATGCTCTACTATCTAATGAAAACTTCACTGTTTGTTTGGCCCTGTTGTTTTGGATTACATGCTCTACTATCTAATGAAAACTTCACTGTTTGTTTGGCCCTGTTATTTTGGATTACATGCTTTACTATTTTATGAAAACTTCACTGTTTGTTTGGCCCTGTAATATTAGGATAACTCGATTTAGTATCCGTAGAAATATTCCACTGTCTGTTTCGGCCAAGTTACATAGACTATTTTGTATTATGTTTTATGTCATACAATTATGCATCTAAATATGAAATCTACTATACACTTTCAACTTCTTTCTTTGTACATATTCTACATTTAATGAGTATTTTCACTGGATTCTTAGATATCCTCATGCATAGTGTCCCCAATCTCAGCTGAACAGTTTTAGAAACCATCAAACATTATAAAAATGTATCACACTGCCTCTGTATCAACATATGAGCCACTCTCAAAACTCCTTGTTGTCCTGTGTGATCTAGGTGACCTTGACCCTGGTGACCTTTGGCTTGGTGACCTTGGCATTGGACGTCTGCTGGGGTAGTCAGGTGAACTTTGGGTCAAGGTTGGGTTGATAAGTGACCTTGTAGCATATAGTGCATTTGTGTAAGTCCTGAAATAGCAGTTAATCATCGGTTTTTTTCTTTTTTTAATGATATTTTAGAATTACAACTATTTGTAACAGTGGTACCTCAATAAAAATGTCTAGGAAAATGGGTCAATGGTTGTCATATTCGTGTTTTAAAATCATTTAAAAAATGTCAATATTGAATAATTTTAAAATCTGATAGACATTGTAATCAGGGAAAAGTTATTTTACTTGTATATTAACATACTTCTGATCATACCAATGATGAAATTATTTAATATCATGGTACTATAATAAATAAAACTGATATTCACCTCACCTGTTCTTTATCCTATGTATAAGTGTTGCCATGACAGCACAGACAACAACCACTCCAACCAGAGAACCACATATTATTGCAACTGAAAATATACAAAATAATAATCATTATTGCTGATATGTTACCCTTTGCATTCGTTCAACTTTACTTCCTAAAGAGACCTTCACTCGGGGTAGCTTTTTAAAAGCATTCTAAGCTAAACATCACAAAAATATCATACATGTTTGTTTAGCACTGATTAATTAATGATAACTTAATATACATGTACATGTATTTTCAGATGCCGTGATGGTTGATAAAAAGTTGTGAAATGGGCTGGTTCCACTTATATATAAACAAGTAAGATTTTTTGTTTCTTTTGTTCAAATAATTTCAAACTTTAGTCATTTAATCAAGCAGCTCCATCAACCATGCTAAAAAGCTCTGGTTAAACATACACACATGTACTATTTTACAATTTTCACATTTTCTATTAATTTGATTCAGCTGAATTGTTAAAAGTTGAATTTGTGATTCATGATTTAGCAGTTAAAATGAATGAATTAATTTTGCAAACTCTTCAAGTCTTTAAAATGGACCAGTTGAAAATTGATGATACCATCTATTTAATTGTATTCTTCATATTTTGGAGACAGCTAGTCAAATACAATAGAAATGAAATTTCTTACTCATCACCGCATTGTCTTCTTCTGTAGCTTCAGCTGGCACAGTTGGCCCTAAAATATTAAAATACATATTGTACATGAGGGCTATCTATATTATATATGAGGGATGCTTCACGTTGTCTTTCAAATATTGTGGCTTGCTTTTGATCAAAGGACAAAAATAGTCTCTGTTTGGAGAACAGTCTCCTGGGCTAATAATTTTTCATGAAAAATATAGAAATATCACCCAAATTAAGTTATAAATATTCAAAAGAGGACATTCAAATCTACAAGATGTAAAAATATCAAAAAGGTCCGAAGTAGGCGTAACGTACAGTAGACCGATTCAATAAAAGACAAGTCTCGCTTTGGAGAAAGAAGTTCATCAGTGCAGTGTACTGCGCTAATAATTTTTTTATGAAAAATATAGAAATATCGCCCAAATTAAATCATGAACTTTCAAAAGAGAACATTTAAATCTACAATATGTAAAAATATCAAATATTGTCCAAAAGAGGCATAATGTGCAGTAGACGGATGAACTCCGTTCTTCAAACCGAGACTTGTCTTTTAATTATTTTTTAGTACTTATTGAACATGTGGTATATGATAAATATATTACCTCTTGGGTTCTTGTATGTGAACTCTGGGTTACTTGGTATATTTGGAAGAGTAGGAAGGTCTTCCACTGCAGGACCTACTGTTGAATAATCATTCACTGTCAGGTTCTTTGCTTTATTATCTGCAAAACATATTAAGAATTTTATATAGATATTTCAACAACAGAGACATCTATCAAAAGGTACAGTGTGTATTTGCTTTTAAAATGAAAATTGTTACATTTGTAAGCATTGCACAAATATTTACATTTACCTTATGTGATTTAATATTTTTCTACCTGTGTTAGATAATGTTAGTTTGTCTGAACAGGGGTTGTGGCCAAAAAGTATGAATTTAGTTTAAATTAAGGCAAAACTATAAGCTAGGTGAAATCTTAAATCTAACTCACCAGATTGACATATGTATTCAACCTGGAAGTATTTCATTTCGCCTTGTTGGGCACCACAGGTCAGAGCCACCTTTCCATCATTGTGGGAAACGCTTACTGTACATTGTTGTCTGTCATCACATTTATCAGTAGATCCTTCCTATGATGTAAAAGCAATCACAGTTGTTAATATTTTTATTTAACAATCACTTACATGTACTTTTTTACCCAAGTTCAAGAAACAAGAAAGTAATAGACATTTCCTTCTAAAAAAGAACTCAAAAAGTAGCTGTTAAACTGAAATGAATAAATCTTTTATGAAGGCATCAATTTCTTAGGCTTTAAATTCTGATTGAGTACATGTAATTGGGTTTTGATCTGTAGGCGCACACATTGTATAATAGCTTACCTGTATGATACAGTCCCATGATTGCTTTTACACATTGTATAATAGCTACCCTGCGTGATACAGTCCCATGAACTGTAGGTGCACACATTGTATAATAGCTTACCTGTATGATACAGTTCCATGAACTGTAGGCACATATATTGTATAATAACTTACCTGTATGATACAGTCCCATGAACTGTAGGCGCACACATTGTATAATGACTAATCTGTATGATACAGTCCCATGAACTGTAGGTGCACACATTGTATAATAGCTTACCTGTATGATACAGTTCCATGAACTGTAGGCACATATATTGTATAATAACTTACCTGTATGATACAGTCCCATGATCTGTAGGCAAAACATTGTATAAAAATTACCTGTATGATACAGTCACATGAACTGTAGGTGCTCACATTGTATAATAGCTTACCTGTATGATACAGTCCCATGAACTGTAGGTGCACACATTGTATAATAGCTTACCTGTATGATACAGTCCCATGAACTGTAGGTGCACACATTGTATAATAGCTTACCTGTATGATACAGTCACATGAACTGCAGGCGCACACATTGTATGATAGCTTATCTGTATGATACAGTCACATGAACTGCAGGCGCACACATTGTATGATAGCTTACCTGTATGATACAGTCACATGAACTGTAGGTGCACACATTGTATGATAGCTTATCTGTATGATACAGTCACATGAACTGCAGGCGCACACATTGTATGATAGCTTACCTGTATGATATAGTCCCATGAACTGTAGGGGGAAACATTGTATAATAGCTTACCTGTATGATACAGTCCCATGAACTGTAGGCACACACATTGTTACGACTGATGCCAGTGAATGCAGTGATGGTTTTGATTTTGTATGTGTCAGGACAGAGGAGTCTGATAAAGGCATTCCCTTTGGAGTTGTAGCACATGGATGACTTGAATGTGAGTGCTAAAATATATATTACTAGTATATCATGCATAAATATACTGTATAAGTGGTATTTAATCAAAGTGTTTAATTTGTCAAATGGTCAAATTTTTTCATTTTCTTAATTTTGATTTTCCTAATGACAATAATAATGATAACATTATGAAGATAATATTTTGATATTTAATTTAATATGGTATATCATTACAGTGGGAATAATGTTATCCACAGTGTCAGGATGCTTAAATAATGACAAGTTATATACAGTATTTGTATTGGAGTTAATTATATAAAGAAATTGATTTAGTTTTGCAATATTTCAATTTATTATGTAAATATTTTTCAAACAAATGACAAAAGCTCATTTAATGATAACATTATTAAAAACAACTTCATTATGAAGGGGTGATTGAATTTCAATTCTTGATGAAAATAACTTTCCTAGTAATATGTCAAGGGGAAACATCACAACTAAAAAGGATTGAACATGTAATAAAAATATAAAATTGATTTATTGTAAATTTTGTTCTACGGATAATTAAAACCATGTACATTTTACTTTAAAGAACAATCCGTATAAAAATATATCACATTGAAATGGAATTTTATCATCATTATATACTTACCATATGCAGCCTCTGACATCACTGAATTTATAAGAATCAAAAACAGCCATAATAGTATCTTATTCACAATTTTCCTTTCCTTCAGCATTGTTCTTTATGTATCCAAGACAACGAGACAACAGTATTATCCTGGTTGAAGCTACATTTTAAGTTTGTTTATTCTTAAACTGTGAAATGTTTATTCTTAGTCATATTTATTTCATCAATTTCCTGGCCTATTTTTACTCAGACTTGCATTTTAATGTCTTAAACAAGAAGCAGATCCAAACTCAAATTGAGATAAATAGTTTTTTTCAGTTTATAAAAGAGATTCTAATGACATAATTCAGGAGTGTGGGTCCAGGGCATGTCAGGTAGTTGATTCCCCACTCAGGTGATTATATATAATTATCTTACCTTTAATTGCAATTCTACAGGTGAACAATCATTAATAACAGGTGCAAAACAGATAAATATCAAACTTAATTTTAATGGCTTTATATGTATTTTAAAAGTTTAGTTTCCAAATGTTTGATTTATTTTTTATATATTTATTTTTTAACTGGTTTAACTTTTGTAGAGAAATGAATTATATTCCATAAGTCAGAAAGAAAATCAATTTTTTTAAGAGGGATATATTTCTAGGGTTGGATTTCAAATAATCAAATTCATTACCCCAGTTTACATAATTGCCATGTAATTAAAATCAAATGAAAATTAATTGTCTCTGAAAAACTAGTTGGCAAGTTCCACCTGTCTCATGGTAATTATCAGTTTCACATGTATATATATCATGATTTCAATAAACATTTTGTTTGTGCTTGCACCCTATACTGTATCCTAGAATCACCATATTTATAACAAATAATCCTAGAATCACCATATTTATAACAAACAATCCCAGAATCACCATATTTATAACAAATAATCCTAGAATCACCATTTATAACAAATAACCATATTTATAACAAATAATCCTAGAATCACCATATTTATAACACATTATTCTAGAATCACCTTTTTAGAACAAATAACCATATTTATAACAAATAATCCTAGAATCACCATATTTATAACACATAATCCTACACCATATTTATTACAAATAATCCTAGAATCACCACATTTATTAACAAATAATAAAGAATCACCATATTTATAACAAATATTAAACAATAAAGAATCAGTCTGTCTGCAAATTCTGAACTTACTATGTCCTGTAACTATGTGGTGTCATCAGAAAGTAATTATTCTCTGAGCCTATGAGCTCATACTGCAAAATGATCTGGCCGGGATCTATGACTCAAATTCTCAAAGATGGTACATATCTGGATGAAAGTATAAACAGTTATAATGGAAAAATGATCTTTCGGAGTAAAGGATGTCTGCCCTGTTTTTAATGACTTCCACTTGGATCACAACTGGCTTCCAATAGTTCCTGCAAAATTGTGAATGTAATAGCCATTGTATAAATTTGTAAAAATTGGAGTAGATTTCAAGTTAAAAAGTAAATTGTACTTAGATATTGCTACATGTAGGCTAATGTATTTCTTAGTAAATATTAAAATGTCATGCTCCAGCAAATTCCTAAAATTATATCATCGCACCTCATGGTTTTAGAGAGATCTGAATTTTGTAATAATCATTATTAGAATAGACTTTTTCAATAAACTCCTCTCCCTAAATGGCTAATTCAATTAGCCATTTAGGGAGAGGAGTGTTTTGGAAAATTATTATTGTGTTGTGTTTATTCAACAATGGGTTGTGTTAAATTAGATTTGAATTGTCAGCTGTGTTGTGTTTGTTTTTTATGTCACCACCAAAATTAGAGTATTTTTTCAATTGGGGATACAAGATGGAAATGAAGACAGGATGCCATTGTTTCAGCATGGCCAAACTTCCAGAAGAAAAGTTTGGTCAGATTTTTTCTTTTCTTGATTTTTTCATTTTTATATGTCAAATGTGAACTTAATATTTGGCCAGCATCTCTAACAAATCGCAGGTTATGACATTTTGCATGTTAAGATGACCTTATTATTATTTTTTGAAGACACTCAGTAAAATTGTGATTTGCACCATGATGTACGATCAATATAATTTGAGTACCTTGTTTTCCTGAGATGTTTGGGCACCCAGGAATGATAACGTCTACCCAAAGTGTACCATGCTACATGTATAATTGTTGTTATTTATCACTGAAATCAGGAAGGAACTTCACAGCAAATGAGACTGCAGTAACCTGTTTAGAATTCGTTGCCTTTTTCAACCTGCTGTTGAGATCTGAGATCCACGCCACTAACATTGTTATATGTATTTGTCAGGCAGTGATATAAAAATATTGTCTGCATTTATATATGTCATTTGCAAGTGCGAAACGCCAAGGCCAAAGGTATGCATCATAGATGAAAGGACATGCAATGGAGTGTAGGCCAAGACAATAATTAATAGAGGGGGCCCCAATAGAATTGGGAGGTTTGAAGCTGAATATGAGGACATGATAAGATATGTAACTTTACTTGACTTTATTTCCAATAACTCCAAATGTCCCTATTTTTCACTCTTCAAGTTGTAACATCCAGTTGTTACCGTACTGAGGTCATTTTTCAAATACAAGAATTTTTGTTTTCTTCAACTTAAAAGACATATTACTCCCCTCCGTTCACTCCTCCCCCTCCATTCAATTTTAATTTTAGATTATTTTTTGTTTTAAGTATGGAAAGTTATTTAAAAAAGACAGCAATGACATTAATTTTGTGATAAAAATGTCACTTATAAGTATCTATAACAGGTCATGTAGACCCCCGTTGCTTTTATTTATAACAAAAATATTGGCATTTGCACGTTGGTGACGCTGCACCTTTCTTAATAGATCTTGGAAGCCTGACAGTTAAAAAAAATCTAGAAGACCTAACATGTAACATATTTTCCCGTGGCATGCATGTATTCATTTAGCCATTCAATTGTAAAGTTTTTCTTAAAAAATAAACCTTCCAGATTTGTTGAATTTTCTAGTAAAAAATCGGCTACTCCTCCTCCATTCATTTCTTCCGATCAACAGGCATGATCAATACAAACAAAAACAAACAAAATGTAGGATTTAGACTGACTTCAATTTTTTCAGTATCATCAACAAGTTCTCAGAAGTTCAAATCTGAGTAGATTTGAAATTTTCAAAATCATCTACAAGTTCTCAGAAGTTAAAATCTAAAAAATATTGAAGTCAGTTTAAACGTTACAGTACTTGTAAGTTATTGGAAGTTGTAAAAAGGACAGGTGGCGGTAAACCCCTCTTTTAGCCCCCCTACAAAACAAGTATATATTGACATGGAATTGAAGAGGAAGTATGACAATTTACTTAAAATGTGATTTCTGAGAATTTTGACATTTGACCTTGACATTAGGGTGGTTTAAAGGTCAACTTTGAAAGATGCTATTTTTGTCAAAATTTTGCCATTTTCTGATACAAGATATGAAAGCAATTGGCTTAATTTTGATTGTGACTGATAATAAGACATGTGAATGGAAATAAAAATATTTTTAATAAATTCTCATGGGCAATTACATGAAAATCTTGAAAATAAATCCCCATATGGGCATTTTGGGGGGACTAAATTTTCTGTTTCAAAAATGAATGTTCTTGTTGCCTTTTGAGACTCCAACAGCATCCTAATATAAGCATGTTTTAAGAGTTGGGATGTGATTATTATTTTAAATACCCATGGGCAATTAGGATAATATTGCTGCAATTAAATGCACACAGGGCACTTCCATGAGAATGGATTTTCTTATTTCAATTGCTTCTCGCCAGTTTTCTAAACATGTTTGCCATATTCTAAATAGTTATAGGGTCACATTTGATAAATGCCCATTGGCATTTACATTGGAATTTGAAATTAAATGTCTGTATGGAAACCTAGTTTTAAAGTTATTTGCAATTCCCATATTTGAATTTCAATATACAATATATCATAAAATATAAGGCAGCATCATGTATAAATGGCATGACACTCAAAAGATTGCCTAAGATAATTTCTACTTATTCCCTATTTAGAAAAACACTTAGGCCATTCAAAGATTTTTTATAATTAATGTCACTAAATTCTATGTTTTCAGAAAAAAACAAAATGTTCCCATGTACTCTGTACTTGTAGTGCATATAAATGACAGAGGGAATTGTGATCTTGAATTATATTGTATTGAAATGAGTTCCAAGATTGATTAAAAACTACATGTATATAAGCTTTTAGTATTGTCTTCATTAACAAGGTCATCTAAATCAAGAGGTGTTACTTGCTTTGCCACAATGTGGTATTGCATTTTCACTTTTAAATAATATATAAAACCCTTTAAATAAATAAAGGGTTTGTAGTTTTTAATATAAGGCCCTTCATCAGAATGCCAACATATAATTAATTTTGAATGGCCTAATCTGTACATGCAGTTATGTAGCGTACATGTATGCCCAGGTTAGCAGCCATATTGAAAACATAAACCAGTCAGCCTTATTTTCATCACAAAAGTTAAGTTTTAGTGGCGAGCCCACACTCCCACAAAAATGATATTTGCAGAGAAGCTACCTTACAGTCTCTGCATTATACAGTTTTAATATCTTTTTTGTGGGAGTGTGGGCTGATGGTTAAATTTTCAACGAAAGGAAATGAGCACCATGCTAAAACTTGATAACAAAGTGAACAAAAATGACAATGTTTTCCAGATTTGCATTGGTAAACTTCATACAAAGCTAGATTTTGTTAATGTTCTACTCCGAATGCTTGTATGCCACATGTTCCTTATAATAAATGCTATGTAATGATAAGTTTTGATATTATTTTGATGGTAAACATAGTGTGTACCCATATTCAGACAGCCTTGTGAAAGGGGTTCTTACTGCCAATTTTTCAAAGAAACTGAAAACTAATGCCACTTTTTGAAATTGCACATCTCAAGAAAAAAGGTTTATCTACAACTTGCAATCGGTTTTAAAAGTAAATTGAAGAATGAGTTTTTTGGAAAAAGTCTAAGTTGACCAATAGTCTGTTAAATGGACCTGTTCTTTGTCACAGATGCTGAAGGCCAGATGCCAACCACCATCACAGAAAGTTGGAGACCATAACAATATGTCACCATTTATGGTTGTGACATAATAACAAAAGTTTGTAATTACACCGTATTATGTAAAAGTAAATGCTCTTTCTGTATTCTCATTATTAATAAGTATTTGTCATTGTGCCGATGCCCACAAAATATTGAAAAGTTCAAATACTTAATTTAACCAGCA